GTTTACTGACTATATCCTACATTTTTTGTGCCTTTAACACATTCATCTACAGAGGCCTTTATTACTTTTTTTTTTTTTTAGAGACAAGGTCTCACTCTGTTGCCCAGGCTGGAGTGCAGTGGCACTACCACGGCTCACTGCAGCCTCCATCTCCTGGGCGCAAGTGATCCTCCTACCTCAGCCTCCCAAAGCACTGGGAATACAGGGCTGAGCCACTGTGCCCGGCCAATTTTTAACAGCTTTTATACCTCAATCTTCATACATGGCAAATACTATGTTTGTCCTGTATTTCCACTCCCATGGCTACTGTCCAGGTTAGGACCCTGATGCCCCACACCCAAACTACCATTCAAGTCTACTAACCTACTTCAATATACAGGATACCCTAAAAGCACTGTGAACTTCAAGAGCTGCATTCTCTGCCAACCTCAGAGCAAAAAAAAAAAAAAAAAGAGCTGCGAAATCTTTCTCTTCAAAAGTGTCAATGGCTCCTTATTGACTTTTGGAATAAAAATGTAGATCCTTTAAGTTGGTGTTCAAAGCTCTTCAGGACCTAGGCTTCCCAGCAGACATCCTCCCAAACGTCCTCTTCAGCTACCCATGTCATTTATCATCTACACAGCAGCACTGTCTGCCTCCTTGCTTCTGCCTATATCCCCGCTTTCTGTTGTCTACAGCAAATGCCCCCAAGCTTGCTTTCCAAATCCTGTGATCCAGACCTCCCTGTCACGGTGACCTTTTCCCACACAGGCCTGGCACTCTGCCCGCTCCTGGGCTGAGACATCTCCTGCCCTGTTCTTCTGCCTTATCTTTTATTTACTTCCCAAACTAGATTTCTTTCTTAAGCTCAAGGGCACGGATCATATTTTGTATTTATTTTCTACAGTGACTCTAAGAAAATGTCTACCTAATAAAATAAGTGTAGACATATATTTGGGTAAGTTCATCTTAAGGTAGAGGATCATAAAGTCACAATATCTTTTATATTAGACATTTCAGTTAAATCAAAAAGGTATGGGGGTTCATAAGTACATAGTTGCTCAATCTGTACTATTTTGTTAACTCGTAATCCATCACTGCCACTACCACAACCACCACCAATTCTTTTAAAGTTCCTTTATGAAATAAAGTTTTATTTATTTTAATGTAAGGCATTGTCTTTATATGAGAGGAATACTATTAATACATTACCTTCTGGATTCAGGTTTCTCATATTCTTAGTCTTCAACGCATTAAATGGTCTTACTTGAATCTGATGTTCTAAAATTGAGTCAGGGTAACGCTCAAAAAAGATCTCATTGACAGCCATATCAAAAGTTGGGATAACTTCCTGTAAAAATGAATATAAAGATGCCAAGCTATGTTTGTATTCCTATCTTTGAGTTAAATATAACAAAGCATTTCATATCAGCAAAGCATAAAAACAAAATAACGCGGCATACTCCCATAGCATTACCCCACAGAATCACACACATACTGCTTCCAAACTTAGGCACCACTACACGTTCTAATTTGGGTTAAATATGATAATATACGTGAAAGTGCCTTCCTGCTGTATGGTACTGGTGTATTTCATGCTTTCGATCAGTAAGGGAAAGGATTTTAAACTCATACTTTCATTCTTCTTTTTCCTCCATAATGAAATGATACCAAAATAAATTCAATCATCCTTATTTTATTCAAATTTATTAATATATGGGTCTCATTTTACAAATGAAGAAACAGCTTTGGGGAGGCTAAGGAACTTAACCAAGGTTATGCAGCTAGTAATCAGCAAAGCCAAGATTCAAAACCCAAGTCTGCTTCCAAACCCTATACCCAGAGTCAATATAGCTGATATTTAATTAATAAAAACTGACCTTAGATCTAGAAGAAAAAGATTATAGCATAGCTAATATATTCTGCTAAAGATGGCAGAAAGCGTGCAATGCATTTAAAATATTTCCACTTAAGATAACTTACTTCATGAAACCCAAGAAGCTATCATTTGTAAGATCCACCATTATTTTATATGAGAAACGCCGCCAATTAAACTACAACATGCCATTGACAATATACATCCCAATTGCTAGAACATTAAAGTGTGAAAAGATGTTCATGTTAAAGGAGATAAAACACGGTTTTCTTAAAATAGTGTTTATGTATATTCTGTTTCCAAGGAAATTTTGCTATGCAGAAACATTCCTTCTAGATAGCTACTGACATTCATCAAGGTCAAAGACAAATTCTTACCTGTGGGTAGGAGATGAGCTGTCTGTACAAATTTTTGTCAAACGATTTTATGTGTTCACAGTTTACATTTAAAAATGGCTCCCCAATAACATTAATCTGTAAGATAAAATGAACAAGTTATACTTTACTAATTTTATTATTTTAAAATACATAACTTGGGGGATGGGGAAAGAAAAAAAAACACACATAACTTGAATTTATAGGTAAGAAACTCTGATTACCTCCCCGAGTCGTTGCATGTACAGCGGTTCAGTGAGATCTATGCCAACATTCTCTTCTTCCTTAGCCAAAGGGTCAGTGAAATGCTGAAGAAATCTCTTGAGGGAGAGAGAATACATTAAGCTAAATGCATTTGGGAACAGGTGACTATTCAAAATACAAAAAGTTATGAGTATGTCATTATCTAGAGAGGGACAATAAATAATATTTCTCAACATTTTCAGTGCCCTAAAGCAGAGGTCCCCAACCTATGGTGAGTTGTATAATTATTTCATTATGTATTACAATGGAATAATAATAGAAATAAAGTGCACAATAAGTGTAATGCGCTTGAATCATCCCAAAACCATCCCCCCCTTCCCCTATCCGTGGAAAAATTGTCTTCCATGAAAACAGTCCCTGGTGCCAAAAAGGCATGAATTCTAACACATACACCTCACCTGAAAATTTTCTTTGCATGTTGCCACATTTACATCCGTTCCCCAGATCACAAGTTTTTGGCCTAGAGACTGCTCACTGGCCACTATGTCTTCTGCTGCTGCCTACACAGAAAAATATGACAGAATCACGTCCATGGGATTTATCCATTTGATTTCCCAAACGGTGCTTTCAGGAGACTGCACATGCTGTGTACTCACCCCATCAGACTGCAGATCCACCTGCAGACTCTTCCGCACAGAGCCCAGGTCAGGCCTCTGCCTCACGGGTGTGCCCCTAACACCACTCCTCGGGGTTCCCTCTACCCTAGAGCTGGGAGTGCCATAGGTCAGTGGTGAACTAACATCAAAGTCAAGAGGAATAGCTGTAAAAACAAAATCCGAAAGTTTACAATGAAACTCTGGCGGCACATCAAACCCGAAACTACAGCACGCTGTCTGTGGGTCTGTCATCTAATTGCGGTAGCAAGCAGTATTTACTGCAACCTGTGGTGGCTGAGGATTCTGAGGGCTATTAAATGTTCTGTGAAGAGAAAAAAAAAAAAGCACAAGAAAAGTTGCCGCTCCTGCTCACCAAGTCCTCACTGCGTACTGGTCTCTGAGTCCCTTCCCCAGCTTTGGGAAGAACACAGCCACCCGGGGACGGAGGGAATGCTTTAGGCGGATGTAAATCACCTGCGTCAAACCAGCAACACCGGCTGGCTGCGGCACCAGCTGCGGACAACCACACACAACCTAGACGTCCGGAAACGCACCTGAGGGGCGCATCTGGGGAGGGCTGGAGAATAACGCGTCCTGCGCCGCAGGGCTCTGCAGGTCCGCTCCCGGCGAGGTCGGCAGGGACTGCAGCTCTCCGGTGGAGGTGGAGTCCTCGCCTCTACGTCTCTGAGACGGAGGTGACCTGACGTCCTCGCTTCGAGCTGTGTCACACCGAAAAGAAAAGACAGCTATCAACCCAGTTTGGCCTTACTAGGTTTGTCCATCTCTTGAGACAGTCTGATTTGTACTGAACAAACCCGACGCGACCCAACCCTGCCGGGGCAAATGGGCAGGGCACGTTTTACCCGCGGATTAAGCAGCACACCGGCCGAGGCGGAGAGGAGCGGCCAGCGCCGCCCGCGCGGAGCCCGGGCTAGCAGCCGGGCGGCGGAAGGCGGAAGAGCGGAGCCGGGGCTCCCGGGCGAGACCCGCTGGGGCGAGGGGTGGGGGACTCACGCGTCTGGGCTGGGGTGGCTCGTCCGCGCCGGCTACTGCGGCGGCTCGGGGTCGATGCGGGGGACGACATGGTGCTCAGGCTGTCTGCGCAACAACAGGCTCGCGCCGCGCCCTCTCCGCCGCGCGGTTACTGGGGAGAAGCGGCCTCCTTCAGACGCCCGCGGGCTGCGGTCCACCTGGCGGGTCGCGCTCCCCAGCTGCACAGGCGAGACCAAAAGTTCCCGCCAGCGGCACGGTTGACACCGCCCCCGGTGGCGCCTCACCAATCACAGCAGCGCTCTCGCGTGGCTCCGCCTCCGGCAGGCGCCACTGCGCGCCGCCGGGGGGGACTGAGCAACCCCGCCCTGCGGAAAACAGGGACTCCAGGCCGCTCTGCCCCCCCTCGGTTCAGATGGTCTGGTCCCCCACGCGGCCGCATTTTCGCGGGAAATCTGGGGAGTTGGACCGGACCATGTTCTTGGAGGTGTGTTCCTCACTGCAGCGCTGAGAATACACTTCTCTACCCCTTAAGCATTTTTTTTACTTATAAAGACATTTCAAATGCATCTTTCACTCTTTATCGAGGAACAAGCTTGTAGATCTTGCCTCAGGCCCCGGCTTGTTTTTTTCTGCCTCTGGCACTCAGCCCAGCCCTACACCAGATAGCTCCCTGTTTCCGCGGTGAAGCCGTTGCACTCGTTTCTCCTTACGTGTTGACGTGTGCATGCTGAGGGTGTGTGTGATACATTCACAAGTCTGCCAGTACGTCGGTACGGGTCACAGCGGGCCCTTTCTCCAGGAAGGTCCCCCCCCCCGGCAAGAGCCTGTGGACGGTTCCCGCCGCGCGAGCCCCGCCCCGCGCCCCGCGGTACTTCCGGGCCCGGGCCGAGCACGCGCATGCGCGGCGGATTTGCTGTCATGGCGGGCTCCGGCGCGGGCGTGCAGGGCGGCCTGCGGCAGCTGCAGGAATGCCTGTCCTCCGCCGAGCGCGGCTGCGCTGCCTCGGCCGCTTATCAACTGATCCGCGGCCTGGGGCAAGAATGCGTGCTGAGCACCAGCCCCACGGTGCTGGGTGGGTACCGTCCCGGGCTGGGCCGCCTGTGGCCTCCCGGCTTTCTGAATTGTGGAGTCGGGCAGCCCAGCGTGACTCCTCCGTGGGCGTAGTTGACAGTATTTTTAAGTCCAGCGGTTAGATCTTGGGGAGATGTCTGTGGATGTGTATAAAAAGTGATTTGTCATACTGCGTTTTTTCTCCTAGCATCAGAGAAAAGGTGTTTTAAAACCAAAGTTGGTGAAAATTACCCCAAATTTGGCAATCATTGTTATCCAAAATGGGGGAAGAGGACAAGAGAAAGTATTTTCTTTCACCTTTATTTCACCTAAACCCACCACCAGTACCTTTTCTAGACCCTTATATTTGCTGTTCCTACTTTGTGAAGAATTGCAGAACTATAACTTAAAAATCATAATGTCCTCTTTTAACTTTTTAGCAATGCCTGTATGGGAATTTTTTTTCTCTTTATGGTAAAAGTGCCGATTTTCAGCATTTTAAAATTTAAACATTTCATTGCGTGAAAAGACTTGTATTCCTTTTATAGAACAAATATGCAGACCTCCTCTGGAGGGCGTGCCCTCTTAATAGCTAGGTGAGATTTTCTTCCTAAGAGGTCAGTGCTGAATAGAAATAACGTTGCTTTCTATCCTCAGGGTTTCAAAGTTAGAATTCATTTTTGTTCATTTGATAACTTGTTTCTAAAGCAGTTCCAAGTGTACTCTCAATGTGTTATACAATATATGTCCTTTCACTTGAAATATTATAGGGGAGTGTATTAGTTTCCTCTTGCTGCTGTAGCATTTACCACAACCTTAGTGGTTTGAAACAACCCAGGTTTGTCAATCTTACAGTTCTTTAGTCAGACAGGGGTCTTCGCAAGCTAGTACCAAAGTATCAGTGCAGGGCTGTTTTCCTTTCTGAAGGCTCTAGAGGGGGAATCCATTTCCTTATTCATTCAGGTTTTAGGACTAAGGTCCCTGTTTCTCTGCTGGTGTCCCTTGCTTCTAGAAGCTGTCAACTTTCCTTGGGTGACAGCCCCTTCCTCCATCTTCAAAGCCAAGCCCTCTCATGAGAGGTTTGGAATCTCCTGCTTTCTCATCTTCCCTTTTTCTCTGACTCTTCTTGCAGCCCCTCCTTTTAAGGGCCCATGTGGTTACATCGTATGCTCTGGATAATCCAGTATGATCTCTCCATTTTGAGGTTAGCTGATTGGCTACCTTAATTCCACCTGCAACCTTAATTTCCTTTTGCTATGTAAAGTTAGCATATTCACAGGGGTGACATCAGGGATTAGGGCGCAAGCATCTTTGGGGACCATTCTGCCAACCACATCCCTGTGGAACATCACCTAGAATTTTATGCTTTTCATATTTTAATGCAGCAGCCTTAAGGGTAGTGTTTTATCACTTAGAAGACTGCCTTGAAAATCATGCACCTCTTTTAAGGGTGGTTTATGAAATTCGTCTTGGCACTCTATTAACTTGTTTTTTGTTGTTGTTTTTCAGCATTACAGACTTCCTTAGTTTTTTCCAGAGATTTTGGTTTGCTTGTATTTGTTCGGAAATCACTCAGCATTGATGAAGTAAGTTGAAAATTTTCATCTTGCTTTTCTTGTATATTCCTTTATGTTGGAGTGATTTATTCTTACCCATATTATTGACTATGTGTATGTCTTTTGTTACAGTTTCGTGACTGTAGAGAAGAAATCCTAAAATTTTTATGTATTTTCTTAGAAAAAATTGGTCAGCAGATCGAGCCTTACTCTCTTGATATTAAGGTAAAGTGGAAAAAACATATTTCATGCTATATCAATATTTAGTTTATCTTATGGCGCAAGGAATTTGGGTTTTTATTTTATTTATGCCTTTCTCATTGGGGAGTTTTCTTATTTATACTTGATTGTGTTAGAAATGAAGTGGGCTATTCCTTTTTTTTTTCCTTTGAGACAGGGTCCCACCCTGTCACCCATGCTGGAGTGCAGTGGCTCAATCATAGCTCACTACAACCTCAAATTCCTGGGCTCAAGCTATCTTCCTAGCTAAGCCTGCCTCCCAAGTAGCTAGGATTACAGGTGCACATCACCACACCCAGCTAATTTTTAAATTTTTTTTATTTGTGGAGATGGGGTCTCACTCTGTTACCCAGGCTAGTCTTGAACTCCTACCCTCAAGTAATCCTCCCACCTTGGCCTCCCAAAATGCTGGGATTACAGGCGTGACCCACCATGTTCAGTTCTGTTTTTTTGGTTCTTGTTGATATTCTTACCTTGGCATGTTGCATCAATGTTTTTAATAACTTTTAATCTATACATTTACATATTCTAATGTTATACTTTTAATAGCTAGATACTAAATTTTATTATGTCATATGTTGGTATTGCTTCTCTCAGATGTAGCTTTTTTTTTTTTTTTTGAGACAGATTCTCACTTTGTTGCCCAGGCTAGAGTGCCATGGCATCAGCCTAGCTCACAGCAACCTCAAACTCCTGGGCTCAAGCAATCCTACTGCCTCAGCCTCCCGAGTAGCTGGGACTACAGGCATGCGCCACCATGCCCGGCTAATTTTTTCTATATATTTTTAGCTGTCCAATTAATTTCTTTCTATTTTTGGTAGAGACGGGGTCTCGCTCTTGCTCAGGCTGGTCTCAAACTCCTGAGCTCAAACAATCCGCCCGCCTCAGCCTCCCAGAGTGCTAGGATTACAGGCGTGAGCCACCGCGCCCGGCCTCAGATATAGTTTTAGCTATAATCGATACTTAGTTTTTATATCTTACTGATGATTTTGGTATGTCTCCTTTTAAAACCTAGAATACTTGTACCAGTGTTTATACAAAAGATAGAGCTGCTAAATGTAAAATTCCAGCCCTGGATCTTCTTATTAAGGTAATTTTATATTTCTAAGTCCATGTATTTTACATTAGAGCTATAATTTAGAAAGCAGAGTTTTGGGTGAGATTTCTGGGGGAGGATAGGATCAAATCACATTGATGTATGGGTAAGATAACACATTTTCCAACCATCACCTGACAATACCCTGGTATTTTGTTCTTAGACCCTTCTGTATGGTAAAAGGAGAATTTTGTGTTGTGAGGGGAATGAAGGGGAAAAATAACTAAGGCATTTGCTGCTCTTCCAATCACCCTTACTGCTTTTGGCAAAACCTAATGCTATTAAGAATTGCCAAAAGATTACCTTGTTTCTGAGTTTTTTCCTGAAACCTCAGCAGTGGGAATGGGTCTGCATGTTGCATTTAAGTGGTTGTTGGGGCTCTCTCTCACCCATGTCTCTGTCTCTTTTTGCATCTGTATTTTAGAATTCCTTCAGGTCATTGGTCCTTGGTCTTGAGTGCCTCTGGGAGAATGGTTCTAGTCATGTTATGGGTTTCTTAGGAAGGTAAAATTAAGTCTAGACTACCCTTCCCCTTGTGTTCTTCCACCACCCACTTTAACCCCTAACTTCCAAATAATCTGGATAGATACGAGTTTTGAGAGGCCAGGTATAAATCCCCAAGAGATATCCGATTCTGAAACTTTGCTGTCTACAGGTGCACTGAGATACAGAAAGCCTTTTCTTTAGTTTTCTTCTTAGAAAATGCTGTTTGTATTCTTTTAGTTACTTCAGACTTTGAGAAGTTCTAGACTTATGGATGACTTTAAAATTGGAGAATTATTTACTAAATTTTATGGAGAACTTGCAGTGAAAACCAAAATACCAGATACAGGTGAGATGCGTTTAAATGTTATTTTCAAGTATTTTAGCAAATTAACATGAACAAATTATTAGTGTAAGACTTAGGTTTCCTTTACCAAGGTCTTTATATGTTTTACAGATGAATCCTTTTTGCTGAAAACAAACCAAAATGGAAACAAATGAAAACAATATGTTAAGACTTCTGTTTTTTAAAATGTTAATCTTTACAAAATGATTCCTTTAAATAGAAAACTCACAACACATGTCAAATATTAAGTAATAGATTTGCATAAAACTTACTGGGAAAGATTTTAGTATGCCATATTTTGTATGTCTTATTGTGAAATTAACTTTGAACTAAACATCCTCTCGTTTTCTTATTTATACATTTTTATTTTTCTAACTTATTTAAATGTAGTTTTAGGTCTTCATTTGTTTAAAATTTATTTTTCAGTCTTAGAAAAAGTATATGAGCTCGTAGGAGTATTAGGAGAAGTTCATCCCAGTGAGATGATAAATAATTCAGAAAACCTGTTCCGGGCTTTTTTGGGTGAACTTAAGACCCAGGTATGACGAATTTTATGATATTCTGCTTCCATAGACTTGTTGTATTTTTCTATTTTAATGATACCATCTTAAAACTTTCCTGTTAGATGACGTCAGCAGTAAGAGAGCCCAAGCTACCTGTTGTGGCAGGATGTCTGAAGGGGTTGTCTTCACTTCTGTGCAACTTCACTAAGTCCATGGAAGAAGGTATTGCTTGGCTTCACCTGATTTTCTTTCTCTATTCAAAAGCTCTAAGTCTAACAAGAATGGCATGTTTATTTTTTGAACTTTTAAACCAATTGTGAATTTACATGCAGTAGTGAGATGTAATCCAGAGAGGCCTGTACGCCCTATCCAGTTTCCTCTGCTGATGACGTCTTTCACTAAGCACAGTAGCACAACTGGGCATCAGCGTTGATGCCGTCCACTGACCTTCGTCAGAACTTACCACTTTTACGTGCATCTGTTTGTGTGTGTGTACTTACTTCTATGCACGTCTCTCACACCTGTAGGTTTGTGTATGTGCCACTAGTTACTGAGCAGATTCATCACCACAAGGGGCTCTTGTGCTACCCTTTTATGTCCATAGTTAGAGTAGTTATATACCATAGTTATATGACCTCCCATCCTCCTAATCCATCTCCATCTGTAGTTTTGTCATTTCAAGAATGTTATACAAATGGGCTCAGTATGTAACTTTTTTTTTTTTTTTTTTG